CACATTAAATATCACGGAGGGGGGAACTCGAGCCAAGAGACGGGGCATTTACATATTACAGGAAACAGAAGGGCAACTGGACAAGGCGAACGGGAATGAGCCTCCAACTTTGCTTCCTTGTTTTGTCGCTCCTTTTTTTCCCTTTGCAACAGATGCGGTAATTTAAAAATGTGACCCCATTTCTTAGAAGGCTAAAAAAGGGCTGAAAAAATTAAAATCGCAGAACACTAGTATGAAGATCCGACGAATAGTTTATGTGGGCGAAAACTTCTCTAAATTTTTTGCTTTCCATTTACAGTTGGAACATTTTTTTCGACTGGAACTCTGCTGCATAATGAGTAGTAAAATGCTTACCAGGCCAGCACTGTAATAACCGGGCAAATACTTGTGACAGATTTGTACAAAACAATAAAAGGCGTCTCGCAGTGGCATGTGCATCAGCAAAACAGCTGCAACCGGCGCCTGCGCTTGACAGTAACCTTCCTCGGGATGCAACACCGTGTATGCTTTCAGCAATTCAAACAAATCTGACTTCCTACAATCAGTATTACTTATAGTCAGTGTTCGTAAATTGATCATGTAATTGATAATAGTTGTACAATCAAATGCAAACACACTTAAATCACTGGCGACGAGCACTGGGCGGGCTCGTGCGATCATGCGTTTCTGCAGCATTCCGTACTGTAATGAGGCCGTTCAGGAACGCACTAGTTAGAAAGTGTGACATATCGGTCGTCGAAGTTCGGGAGGTTAATTGTCTAAACGGTACTTGGACAGGGAACATACTTTCAAAATTTCAGTTTTCCAACTTTTCTAGTTCTTGAGTTAGCAATTTCCCTGCCAAAAAATTTTATGGGTCTATATGTGAAAACCACAACTATCTGGGAACTGAATTCGATATCTTTAACTTTTACGGAGGGCTAGGAACATAACTGTAAGACTTCAGCTCCCAGCTTTCTCGATTCTCGAGTTAGCCATTCCCCCGTCAAAAATTTTCACGGGGCCGTATGTAAGAACCACGCAAGCTAAATTTGATAAATTTAAACTGTGCATGAACTGGGAATATTCTCTGAAAATTTCAGCCCCTTAGTTTTCCTGGATCCCAAGTTAGCCATTTTTCCGCCAAAAATTTCTGCGGAGCCGTACGTAGCAAACACGCACACGGAAGGGGTGAGTCTGATAAATCAAGTTGTACATGAACTGGGAACATCCCCTTAAAATTTCAGCCTTCTAGCTTTTCTGATCCAAAGTTAGCGATTTTCCCACCAAGAACCTTCACGGAGTCGTACTTGCGAACCATGTAGGCCTGGGGGCTGATTTTGAAACCACAGAGTTCTATGTGGACGGGAAACATAACTTCAAAATTCCAGCTTTCTAGCTTTTCTGGTTCCGAAGTT